AAGCTATCAGATGGATGCAAAATTAAAGGAAATGAATGTATTTACCCCTTGAAGTTCCAAGGACATGGAAAAAGCTTACAAAACCAGTACTTTTAGTTGGAAGCTCTTAACATGTTGACAGAATACCAACTGCCCTTCACAATTTAGCTAGATGCCTCTTCGAGGCCATCATGAGCCATTTAGGAGTGTCAACAGTTGTCTGCCTTCTGGTACACTGAGTCAGATTCATCTTCCTAAACAAAACACAAAGTAATTGTGAGGAAACTGTGATCTTACTTCAGGCAATTCCACAAATTAAACAGCAAAGAAAATCAAAAATGCTCGCTGTGCATTGGTCACATAATCCTGGAGAAGAGTTGCTTTCAAACCAGTGCAGCTGGATACCTGTGAAGACATGAAAAATAGAGAAAAATCAGTTCTTGACTTTTCATACAGAAAAAGGGCTTGAACAGCACTTGAAATGCAGTATTTTACTTTTGATGCCTGTTTCATGGTTCTCATCAAACCTGAAGTGACGGTCTATGTGTCTACTATCACTGAGGCATTAAGACATGTAAAAGGAAAACCATGACAATAAAGGACAAAAGTCTCCCTGTCTCAGAAATTGTGCTAGTGCTTCCAAGCAACATCTTCAGTTGAGGCCTTTGCTATTTTTCTTTCCATTCCAGCTGTTCCTTAAAATGTGGAATCACACTTAAAGCAAGGTGACACCAAGAAGGTTTGTATTGCTCCTCCAGCTGTTGGTTTTATTCTCCACATTTTAACATGGGCAAAGAGAAGACCTTGTGTGGCATAGCTCCAATATGCTTTGTAAATATACTCGTTAGGAGCTGTAAAGCTGGGTAAGGGCTTCTGCTGTAATTTCTGCCGCAGTATTTTCTCACCCAGAAGAATACCGTGCCCCAACACTTATCTCTGACTAGCTGTGTAATTACTACACGCCTGACAACACTTCCCATTTCCTAGAACTGCTTGAATTAACAGTAATTTTCTTTTCATAAAACCAGGAATACAACCAGTAAAACTTTCATTAGGTTGCTACTGCCTACCAGGGGAACATGAGCCTATTGAATGGGAGATCAGGACTACATCAGTTCCTCGCTGGTGCATACAAATTGCTAAAAACTTTTGTGGGTCAATCTGGTTAATCAGACTGCAATTTAATGTGCAGTTCACAAAGAGATGTTAATGTCTGTGCTGTGGATCAGGATGCTCTCGGGAGGTGTGACATTAGAGATGCTTTTTCAGAGAGATAAATAATCAAAAATCCTTCATTTTTTCACATACTTAAGGCTCAGATGAGGAACTGGGTGACAAAGAGATTGCGTGACTTAACCAGGGTCATACAGGAAGAGTGTGTCAGAGCTGGAAGCTGAATGAAAAATTTCCAGCTCCCAGCCAGCTCCTTCATTATTTGATCATCTTCTGCCACAATAAAAAAATTACAGCCATTCCTTACATAATTGCTGGGAATCCTGAAAGATCATTCCAAGTGTACACAGCTAGATCACAAAAATGCAGCTTTTAAAAAGATGTGCACCTTAATCTGTCTTTTCTCGTCCTTGGATTCAAGTGGCTTAGTTGTAAAGGTATTAACACATATCAAAACTCTGCATACAAAAGCATACAAAAACTCTGGAATACTGCCTTTAATATGTTCATATTTTCCTCTGTAGAAGGACAGTAATTCCTGTCCTTATAAAATTGTGGTATGCTTTTTATTTATGTCTAGCAACCCTATCAAAATCAATGATTATTTCTCATCTTCTAGCTTAGTAAATAAACCACTCAAAAAGTGAGAGCTTGTGGCACTTCTCTCAGCTTCATAGGTGAAGCAGTTACTGCAGACTCCAACCTTAGCCAGCCCTTATGTTATATGTTACTTTGCATTTCTCCCTTGATGTTGCCACTATTATTTTCATTTTACTTTAACATCATTAGTTATGGTTCTCAAAGATGAATCCATTCCTAATGTACTCGGTGTGGCTACCCTTAACATTTGCCAGTGGTTTCAATCGATTTGAGTAGATACCATACAAACAGAATGGATCTAGTTTGACCTGTGAAACCCAGACTACAGAACTTCATGTACTCGATGAGTAATACTGAAGTTTTAAGTTATCTAAATCTCTTTGGTTTGGTTTGTTTTGGTAACCAAGAAAGCCCTGCAGGGGTACTTTCTAGTCAACTGTCTTACCCTATTGCATTGTTTCTTGCTTTGCCTTTTAGTTTCACAGTTGTCTTTGCAATGAAACAGCAATTAATAAACAATGCACAAAAGCAGAAGAATATCAGTTGAAAAAGGGTCACTAGCAGTAGGACTGTGATATATGATACTCCTGAAAAAAAAGTCAAAGCAATTTGGGGAAAAAATGGTATGATGAATTACAGGAAATAGTAAATTACAGAAAAGTGTATTCTTTGCTACTTTTTCACAAATCCCTTGAAACTATTGTCATGAGATGATGATTAGAAATTTCAGTAACACGGTGGTAGAATCAGTCTGACTCGAGAGACTGTATTTTTGGTTTTGTCTGCAGAACTTCCATCATTGTATGCATGAAAGTGCAAGAAAGTGTATATATATGAATTATCATCAATCCATGCAAACAATGAGTAACCTTATACATTGTTATTTATCTTCAGATAAATTATTTGCAAATTACAAGCCAGATCTGTGGAGCTGCGCCCATTTAGAGATCAAATCTGGCCTCCCATTTTCATTATAAACCACAGTCATAGATAGCTGAATAAAATTGTGTAAATAATTTGCTCTCTTATCATTTCCCTTCAATCTGCAAATATTTCCTTGAGCACAGTTTTATTATATAAGTGCTCTTAGGATCTTGGCCATCCAAGTACAGTTACCAACCAAGATTTATACAGTGTTGTCAATCTAATCTCTCCTAATTTGCTATGCTTTTACCTACTGTTGTGCCCTTTTGTAAATTAGCAGAGGTTTACAGTTCAGTATTTCCTTACTTGATCTACTATGCAGAAATGAACTTAAGTAGGTAGTCCTTAACATGCACTGCTACTAATGTCTTACGTGCAAGACTGCTTTATCTATTTACATGGCATAAACCCCATCTGCTTCCTTCACAGAGGAGCTCCTATAATAAAGGTGTCCTTGCGTGTGGATTCCTTATTTTCCCTCTGTTAATTTCTGTCCACCAGGATTTTATACAGTGCCCACTTAGACTGACACTAGGACACCTATTGACTATACAGGCTTTCTGTCATGCTCCAGGAAAAGAAGGAAGGCATATTGATTTTTTTGGCTTGCTGTTAAGGCACATTTTGCAATGCTGTGGTTTTGGCTGACACTGTGGACTTGGCAGGGGCTTAAACCTGCAAAATTACAATCTAAAAGTTGCCACTTCCCCAGCTCACTGCTGTTCATTGCCCACACCAGAAGTGCTGCTGTGGTTCTCTGACACAGCAGCCATCAGCCTCCTGAGGCACATTTTTAGCTCCACTGGACCTACCCTTACAGCCTCCAACCCAGTTACACCACATTTAATATGATGGGAGCAAGTGTGTGGTCTGTCACAAACAAAAAGTAATTTTAATGCATTCTCCTTTTGTAAGGGAAGAGATCTCTGGTATTTCTTACAGAATGTTTCCAACTAGCTCCTAGCTTCTCCCAAAACATTTCCCTTCACTGGCTATGCAATTTAATGACTGAGCACATGATAATGTGCCCATTAACATTTCCAAATCGAAGTGACAGTGCTGGGATCCTGGAAAAGGTTTATGGGAATTATACCCTGGATCCCCCATCCCCAGTGAGACATGACCACATAGCTTTCATTTCTACTGCAATCTCACCTCAACTCCATGTGTGTCAGTCATAAGAAATAGTCTCAAGTCCAGCACTTCACTCAAGGCTATGCTTCACTTATAAAGTTATATGAGTTCTCTGATTGCAGCCCCTGCCATGACTAAGGACTCCTATATCAGCTGGGCTTTTAATGCACTGGTGAGCTGGGTCCTAATTTCAAAGCCAGGCAACCAAAGAAATTAGAAATATGGTTTCCAGAAATGCTTCATATTGCTTAAAAATAAAGCTGCTTGCATGCACGTCTAAATAAGGATTAAGGTGGGTTGCTATAGGCACCAAACTTTGGAGATGTTGGCCTAAATGACTTGGATAAGGAGAATTGTTTTTTATGTGAGATGTTAAATAAACCCCTTGAGTTTCAATAAATAAACACAGCTATTTAGGAAGTGGTGACAATGTGCAATCTGCAAAAACGGGAAGCCTAGGAGGTGCTGTGGTAATAATGCAGTTACTTGAAGCACATTTAAGATACAAATATCTCTGTGGTTTTTTATTTGCTTCCACTCTTTGAGTCATTCTGAGAAACTTCACAAAGCTGTGCACATTCCAGTTATGGCTGAAGCGTGATGCACTCCTCACTGTGTACTAAAAACTTTACCCAAGAGAGCTACAGTGTGGGCTGAGAACAGATCTTCTCCAGGCACTGGAAAATGCAGATTTGAAGCTCAATGTAATGGAGAACTCTGTTTCATGTGTATAAAAGAAGAAGAAGAAGAAGAAAGGCAAATATTCTTGGCACGAATAGACAATTAAAAAAAATAGGGAAGTAGCTATGCTCAAGACTGAAGCATTTCTGTCATAACATGTGCTGCTGCAGTCACCAGAATGGGGTGGTGGTGTGGCTTTGTCCCAGCTGAAGAGGGGCTGTTCTGATAGTAATTGAATATTTATTACAAAATTACAAACATAGCCAAATCCCTCAGAGGGTTTACCTGAACTAAAGTCAGTTGGTGAAAAAACAGTTCAAAACAATTTCGCATCCCTTATTTTAAAATCAAGGAATGGATCCAAGTAAATTGGTTTCCCACAGCTAGAGTACGGTAGCACTAGAGAAGAGCTCATTTTGTCCTAGAAGATTCAAAATCAAGAGAAACCCAGACCCAAATACCTTCAAAAAAAGCAAAACAGCAAAACAACAACCACAATTTAATTTACATTGTTTAAAGAGAGATGATTTATTGTTTTTTTTTTTTTTATGCTCTGGATGCGTTGTGGAGCAATTATCTAGTAATCAGGATTCCTAGGTTATGGATCCAGATCTGCAGCTGTTATCTGCAGAGAATCAGCTGCCAAATCCTCCATAATACCGCAGCTTACCCATGCACTGAAAAAAGTAAATACCTATAAATTTACCCAAGAATCTCAAATTAAACATTCAGCACATGTAGAAATGCTCACGATCACTATTAAAAGACAGCGTTTTCTTTGTGGTTTACTGACGTCCACAGGACTATTCAAATTTAGCCAGGGTTTGCATTAGAGATCTGTCCATGCCTGCTCCTGTTCCTGTCAGTTATTCAGGCTTTTTCCAGCTTTCCCAAGAGAAGCTGCTAAACATTTCCAACCAAGTCTGACTCTTCCCTCAGTTTTCTTGGAGCCATCCATCTTCCAGCGAGCTCCATGCTGATAGGTCCCTGAGGTCGTGCACAACCCCAGAAAGAGTCCAAGGCTGCCGTGCAGATAGAGGAATCTGCCTGGGGAAGGCAGGGTGGTGTTATCGCAGGATGGGGGCCTCACAGGTCATTTAAAAGACCAACTTGGGGGGATGAGTTTTTAGTCTGAAAGGAAACGCGCCCTCTTGTAAATGCAGATTAATATCTATGTTTGCAGAAGGAGCTCAATTCCCCAGAATCTCATTGGTAGCAGTGCTACGCATGACACAGTATTTCAGTGAAAACCCATGAAACTTCTTCAGATGACAAAACCCCAAGCCTAATTTGAAATGCTTGCTGGGCCAGGCCCAAAAGCTGAAATAAAGACCTGACCCCTACCACACACACGTGTGACCCATTCCTCTAACTGCTCGTAGAGGAAAAGGTTGGAGGTACTGAGCACGTCAACACTTACCTAGGCTTGGAGAGCAGGGTGCTTTCCCATAATCAGAGGGAAGTGTTGGAATGTATTGTTGCTATGTTTTTTAAGACCTTTTGAAACCGTGGCCCTAAGGAAATGAGGAAATACAGAGGATGAGGTTACATTGTTATTATTATTTCGCCTTTTTGAACACAGGATTATATGGCTAGATTCACATTATATTAGCTTTCTAAACCTTTAAAAACACAGGGTTTGCAGTGCAGGTTTGATGCTTTATTCATTAAGTGAATGTATTTCTGTTTAAAAAATCCTGCCTACCTCACAAGCATTGCTTTTCTGCTCTCTGTGTCTCACATACTCCTTGAAAAACTCTTGTCTAAAAACGTGTGTGCAAACTTTCTGTTTCTTAAATAAAAGATTTACTTTTTGGGCAATAAATCAGTGTTTCCTCCTTTTCTTAATTTTAGACTCGATGCTGACAGCCACTCTCTGACCAAGTTCCCCAACACCCTCACACAATGAGCAGCCGCTGCCTTAAAAACAGGTGGGATCAGTCCCTTCAGACATAGAAGAAGTTGTCCTGTTTTCCAGAGAAGTATTTTCCACACATGAATGTGTTTCCAGGTGCTTCAGGTAAAAGGTAAGAGAGGCAATGTTCATGTTTCCCCTGAGATGTGGAGCCTGATCCTGCACATACCACAACTTGGGTAACTGTCAAGTTGGTTGGTGTCAGTGGAATTGTTCCTGATCTGTCCCAGTATCAGGAAGATCAGAGCTCATTAGTTCATCGATCCCTAAATCCCAACACAAGCAAGGTTACGATATTGCATCCACAAGAAACAATCTGTTTGACATGATAACACTGCATTATCTCAGACCTTTCGGTGTTTCTTTTCCATGCAGATGTTAAATGTTCCTATACTGAGTTCTGAAATAGTATCTTCATATATGTATATATATACATTTAACATTTTGATGTGATGTACATTATATAGTACATAACAAGAAAGAGATGAAGAATTACCTCACTAATACTAATTAGCCAGTTTTGCAGGGTTTCTCTTCAACTCAACACCAGACTTGGTTGACCTCTTTACATCATTTCATCAAATACTATTGATGTACCTTCAGGTAGCTGCAGAGGTAAATGGAAATGACAAGTGACAAATGAAATCAAATCTTTCCTCTGATGGCAAGCCTAGGAGTTGTTAGAAATGATTCCACTGCCTTCAGATGTACAGGCTTGTGTGGCCAGGGGCCTTGCCCCTTTGGATATCTCTTCCTTTCTCACTGTTGTGTTATCCTCCTGACAGTTGTATTTGCCCTTATTTGATTCTTTTTCTCCCTTTCCCCAGTTGCATCACTAGCAAATTGAAGTTTCCTGATAGCTCATCATCCACCCCAGCAGAAACACAATTTTCCTTCAAAAATCACCCTTTTCTTCTCCCATTTTCATGGATGGGTACAAACTAATTAACTTCTAACTGCTGTCACAGCATTTCCTCAACAGCCCTTGGGCAGCTGCTTTTTGAAAATGCTGTGAATAGGAAAAAAAATCATTAGGATGTTTTCTTCTAGATTGCAAATAATTGCACAGTACTGCACGTCCTGTTCAAAATGCCACGACAAGATACACTCTGCTGAAACACGAACTTTATGCGCAAATCCGTGCTTCTGCCTAGCAGAATTTCCTCTGTAATACATGGGAAATTTCGCAACATCCAGAGGAATCACTTCTCCACTCCGCTGCCCCTTGAATATCTACTAACTAAAGTCCTTAACTCATCATTTTGAACGGGACAAAAAGGATGGTTGAGCAGCACTGGTGTGAAATGCTCTGCCAGGCACCCTTTACTCTGTGTCACAATGGCCTCTAGTGGATTAGCAGCAACTGACAGAAAGCCCCATCTTCCCCCTGGGGCTTGGCATGGCTGCAGGGCCTGATGCACCCCCATGGGGTACACACGATCTGCTCTCAGATGGTTATAGCGTTAGCCTCTTGCTGTATCAATATAGGATAACTGGTTTCATAAAAAAAAAAACCAAAAGGACGAATTCATTTCTAACAATCTTATTTGGCTTTGACCTCGTACTGGTTTTAACTTCATCTAATGCAACCTTGTTGGTATTGCTTCTTTATTTGTTAAGAACAATGAGTACAAATTGAAGAGACAATGAAAAATTGAAAGGAGAAAGCATTTTGAGTACACAAAATGGCTTGCACAATGCAGCCTTTTAAAGGTCTAATGTTATGTTTGTGTAATTTATTCTTCCTCCTTCCTAAAATATGTTGCCTTATTGCTGAAGATTTTGTGCTGCTATTTATCTGTGTTACTGCTAATGGCACAGCAGTGAAAGCGTTGCCAGACACAAGACATCTTGAACTTTTACCTGTTAATCTCTTTCTCAAGAGTCAGCACAGACTCCTTGTTTAATGGTGGATCATCCATCAGAGGCATACGTGAGCTAAAATGCACGGACGGATACTTCACTCATGGTGCAGTCAGCACCATCCCCACCTCCAGAGAGCTGCCATGAGAGCAAATGAGACTGGACATAAATAAATGAGGTCTTGTCTAATGTAAGTCTGGGAAAAGGATGGCAGCTTTTCAGAAACAAGTCAAGTGAGCAAACCCTTCTTCAGGATCCAACCTGATCAGCTACTGCAGGTAGGAAGGATTTTCTCCCCTCAAAGTGCAGTATGAAATTCCAGTGTATCCCATACATTTAGGTAGAAACTGGACAGAGAAACCCTGGTTTTGCTAAAAATGAATGCTTTACCATTAGCTTCAGTGAAGTCTGGATTTTCCTGCTCTTTGAAAGCATGGATCAGTCTTCTTACAAAATTGCGATGTGACAGGAAGAGAAATAAGCTTAGGCAGCAACTCCTTTCTTTGGCCAGAAAGTCTCTCAGCTTGCTCTTACAGGCTTAATGTACAAGTAAAGGTGAGACATGGTCCTCTGAAGAACTGTGTATGGTCCCTACTAAACCACTTATCACAAAGATCAATTCCATGGATCTCCATGGGGAAATCTACCATGAAACTGGAAGAGAGGAAGTAACTACCTCCTTGGGGAACACCTGGAGCTTGGTGGTGTTTATACCTTTCAGGCACACTCAGATGGAGTTCATTCTTGCACAAGGCCTTGTGCATTGTTCGGATTCAGGGAACCGTGTACAGGAAAAGGCAAGCCCTTTAGAAAGAACAGCGTTCATCTCGGCATCAGGAGCACCGAAGAGCAAGCAGTACACCAACAACTACTCCTGTTCCACAGTGGTGGTGATGAGCATGGGGCAGGCAAGATTCCACTGCCTCTCTTCCTTGTCAGTTTCACTGGCTTGTAAAAGGTGATTTTCATTCCCTTGCAACATGCTTGGAAGCTGTAGGAACTAGTATAATCGCTTGTAGATCAAGCAAAGCACTTGATATAGAAACCTCTTACAACAGGTTCAATGATAGTGAACATTTTCATAGATGTAGGTACTTGGAGAACTTGCAATAGCACATATGTTCTTTAGTTCCAAACATCCTGGGAATTGCCAGGAGCACATTATGGCCCTGCTGTGAGTCAGTGTGAGACCAATGTTTGGACTCTGCATAGAAGGCTGCTGTGCAATGCAACTCCTTTAGACACTTCAGATACCTTGCAAATGACAGTTTAACTGCTATTAATTAGTCATCACACTCCCATGTTTGTCTGATTTGCAACTGCAACAAGTTCTGTGCCCTGCTTTACCAAGGAAATAAAACCCCAAAGCCTAATTTTTCTATCAGAGGGCCTCCACAGCAAAAAGATAGAAGAGGAGAAATATAAAACACACAATACAAAGGCAGGCTTGTGTCTTTGCTGAATATTTTCATTGTTTTCCCTGAGGGGCCAGTGGGTTTTTACACACAGCACTAGCACATTTCATTTTGACAACGAGTCAGACTTTCCAAGTCACTACACCTTTCACAACACACTGCAAACTGTCAGTGTGGTAACTTCCTTAAGTTTAATGAAGTTACCTTATGAAATCTCTTGACAGAGCTGTCCAAAAACAAAAACAACCAACCAAAAAAAGGCGTAAGGCTACTCAGAAAATAAGAGGAGTACCCAATGAAACGCGATACAAGCAATCTGGAAAACCTCTGAGGGGAGAAGGAAGAGTTGTGTGCTGACAAATGGTACAAACTCCTGGCTAAGATTAGATTTCTGTGGGCCGGATTTAGATAACGGGCCCAATTTTCCAATGGACTGAATGCCTGCTGGCTCCCAGTATTGGCCCTGCAAGCCACAGGCAGATCATTAAGCTTGCAAAATCCAGGCACTAAGTTTGAGTGTAAATAAAACTCTGGGGCCAATAGCTTCTAAAAGACTCAAAGAACTATTGCCACTTGAAGGCTAAGCTTTTGGAACGTCTTTTTGCAGAGCCAACCTAGAGAACTGTTCCTAAGAACCCATTTTTTACAATCTAAGTCAGTTTTCTTTTTCTTCTTTATGGTGGCCATATGATGAGCTTAGCGATGTAGCTTATCCTTCACTGTACAGCTGAGGGAATTCCAGGATAACAGTCACCAAAATTAAGGCATGTCTGTCAGTGACTAAGAGCAGAGACACCCACTTAGACCAGATTAAAAAAACATCTATAATTTAAGGATTAGCAGGCTAGCAGAGTTGGAAGAATTTCAAGCTCTTTACTGGGCTCAGGAGGAAATCTCTTTTAATATTCTATTTCATTCAGAAGTAGTCACAGATTAGTGGTTTAAGAGGAACAGGTCAATAGTGATGCATGAGACCTCAGGGGAAGGTGAGTACTGTTTGTCCTGAGTGCTGTGGAAAGGAACAGGTATCACATCTTCATCTGTGTTGTCCGAAACCAAAAAGAGTATGTAACAGGAAAGGGTTTTTCTTGTAAGCTTTGTTTTAGCTGGATCGCTGTTAATGTGCAGATGTCTACACTGAGACAATCTCCTGCCTGCTATTCAGAGTCTTCTGGATGATTTCTCTATTATGCTCCATTGCAGTTCTCTTCTGTAGCTTTAGTGTAGAGTATTCCTACACAAAAGATCATCTAGAGAAATCCTAATTTTGATCACTGCAGGGCCGATCCTGTTCCAGATCTCCTGTTGCTTTCAACAGTAGGTCCAAGGCCCTGGTCATTGAGAGTTAGTTGAAAATTTTTGGTAAAAAGGAACTTTAAGACAAACAAACTCAGTCCTAGGAGCAGTACTTGAGGTTCCTACTAAGTGAAATATGGGTTTACTTTTCTGGAGGTTTTTGGTTTGTTTTCAGTAATTCGAACAGCAGGATTTAATAGGCTGTGTTTTCTGTTCTTTGATTGTGAATGATTTTACTGAAATAAAATAAAGTCTGTTTTGTTGGGTTTGGTTTTTTTGTTGGTTTTTTTTTCTCCCAGAGAAAAAGAAATTAAATTTCCTGAACAGCTCTATAAATGATTGCAGATCCTGATCTGGGCTAGAGAAAAGCCCTTTGGACTAGTCAGACGCAGGCTGAGAACTGAGCCTTCTGCCTGATAAAGTCTACTCAGATCCTGGCAGATGGTTTGTGTACTTGGAAATCAAGCTGGTCACACTCCCACACTCCCAAGACTTCATGCACCAACAAGTGAAACCAAGAATACAGTTTCCCTTAAAAATTACTGTCCTTACTCTTAACTTCTCTTACTGTAACAGCCACAAGGAGGAGAAAGAAGAGGTTAACAGATTAGCACGTATCAAAGATGGCTGTTAAGAAAACATCACTGGAGCTGCTGAAGCTAGCAGGAAACCAATTGAATGGGCTGAAGATTACAGAGTTAAAGTCAGGATCAGCAAAGTTGAACTTCCCTGTGCTTAGGAGGCAGAGAATTTATTAAATCTGGGGGAAAGGACACAGAAGAAATTCTTTAAGTTTCTGAGTAAGGTTCAAGCATCACTTTTCAACTCGTTTTTTTAATTGCTTGAATCTGTGCATTTAATTCATATAAAAGAAAAGCTTCAGGTGAAAACTAAGGTGAGACAGCTTTCATATCGGCATATAGCTGATGGCAGGTCTGGTCTTCACCAGCTACCAACTCAGGATTTTTAAGTCCATTTCCAATTTCTAGGCGCACATCTTCCTTTCGATCCTTTTCCACAGCTTGCTGACAACAGCAGCATGAGGACCAAAAACTCCTAGGGGTTAGGGTGAATTCTCTTGGCAAGTAGTCAGTAAGCTGGCTTTGGTGACACCGTTTCTGTGAGCTGCTCTGATATTCTGTGCGCAAAAGGAGTCATATTTTTGCTATTGAAGCAGCAATGAAAAGGTTGCCTGTGTACCAGCTGGTTATATTTGAACAATTAAACTCTGTATTTATCTCCTTTACTAAACTCAATCAGACTGAATATGACGTTAAATAAACCCTGATGAAATATTGTCTCATTTGCTAAGAGCTTGTTTTAAGTATAGAAACGGCTTTGTCAAGTGCTCTTTAAACACAGGGCAAAACTCCCATGATGGCAATATTTAAACTAACTTTACATTCCCATTTTTTTAATCAATATCCTTTATTTATTGTGTTTACTCACATGGGAATGACCTCATTTTATAACTTTGATTTTCCATAGAAGATCACTGAATTTGAACCCAATGTCAATGTATGACAGAAAAGTGACATGATCAAGCTGTAACTCAACGTGACACATAATCTTGAGCATAACTGCTGCTGTGCTGACAGTACTGAAAAAGCAAAGGAAAGAGAAAATAGGTGCCCAGGGGACCACTTGTTAGGGTGTGCAAGCTTCCACATCACATGGTACTGAGTCCATAGATACTGCTGTGACTAGAACTGTGTTGAGAATTGTGCTAGGTAGATACTGGAGCAAAATCTGACATTTAAAATACATTTTCTACAGACTAGGTGACGACACCTTCATCTTCCCTAAGATCATTTGTCCTTCCTATTTTGCTTTACTAATCCTTCTATTTTTCTCTCTCATTATCTGCATGAATCCAGTCCATGCCGGTGAAGTCTGGCCAGATGGGTTAATTCAAGAGGACATGAAACTATGTATGACTGTGTTTATTTGTGTGCAAAAGTCTCTGTCCATAAATTAAAACCCTCTCAGAGAAGCATGTGCAGACACACGTGCACTCACACACACTTATGATTTTTCACACCCTGTATAAGAAAATCTCAAGCACTTTACAAATCTTGAAGAGTGCATTGCACTCCCATAAGATGAGTAATGACTGAGAACACATTTGCAGGACCTTAGTTTGGCCTGCATCACACATCACATTTCCATGTCTGCTGTGGGAATTGCCCAGTGGGATTCAAGAAGTTCATTAAGCCCAGTAGCACATCTCATTGCCAGAACATGATCCACTGGCCCTTTTGAAGTACAAAGAAGTGCAAAAAGCAGCAACATTCTATATTAGTTTTTAAAATTCTTCATTGTGTTTCTTTTGTATTTTCCTCCAAACCGAACAGTTTTACACTTCAGCCCTTCCTATTTGGAAGTCTTTCAGTAATCCCTGCTCTGAAGAATGTCTGTATATTCAGCATCAAGTTTATCTTTACTATGATGTGAAGGAAAGATCATATTAACAAAAAATGATTAAGAAGATATTTGTTTGGTATTCAAAGTCGGCATTTATAGGGCATGTTGCAGAATTCCGTAAGAGCCATGAACTAAGGGTGTGCAACTTTAGCATTTGGATGTTGTACAAACCAACACTTTTTCAGAATCAATTCGCCAAATATCTGATTAATTACTTTTGAAAGTCTGGACCTAAAAGACTGCCTATAGAGTGTCACAGGAAATCTGTAACAGAGCCTGCAAGAGATTCCCAGTCTCTTCTATTCCACTTCTTACTCTTTTGCCAAAGCATATGCAGCTCTGAAAGCCCAGAGACAAACTGTGATTGAATTCTCCCACATGGCAACACTTGATCATGGGCTGGCCTCTTCAGGACAAAATAACGATGGGACATGATGATCCAATATACCTGAGCCCAAAATGGAACCTGCATTGTTGTTTTCTGTGTTTTTTTTGTTTTTTTTTTCCTTTTTTTAAATTAATATTTCTTCTCTCCAGAAAAAGCCTAAATGGAAGCCTAACTTTGTCTAAATACTTCCAGGATAGTTCCATTCCATCAGAGTAGATGGAAAGTTTCTCAAGAAGAGCATGGAGCTAAAGTGACATATTTATGAGGTGAAAAAATCAATGGAGAGACTGTCACAGGGATCTCTGTTTATTAAGTAAGTGTTCTCACGCTTTCATGACACCTGACATTCAGGGCTGTCTCCAGGAAACAACATAAATCCAGAATCATGATGCACTCTTGTCTATTACAAGAAATCAGTTTACCAAGTCTTACATTCAAGATAAACCTTTTTTATTGTTCTTCTTGGACTCAAAATCCCACGGGACTTCAGCAGGTGTTTGTTCCATAAATGTCAGGGACCCCTTTATATTAAATCTGGAAGGAAAGATCATGATAGAACCAAAATAAAGACAAAGTCAAGACAAATCAAGCTAAAATAGACTTACTGGTGAAATGCCAATGTCCTAAGAAAGATTTTAGTGATGTAACCCAGATGTAGGTGCTAATAAGTACACATAAACCAAATTAGATTAGATTTAAGGTGTTTGGCAGCATGAGGGCTTTGAATAGCACAGATGTACTTCCACGTCGTGTTTTGATCTGCTAGACTAAATGATGACATTTGTTATTGAAAGTAGCTTTAAGGAGCAGTTTTGTAGAACAGTAAAATTTAGATGTAGTTTCTATATGCAGCTTCTACAGCAATATCTTCTCATGCCTGCACGTGTGTGGCCACCACTGACTTTCAGTGAAAGTACCATCTGTATACTTGTGAGGTACCATTTGGTTTAAGCACATCATATTACCTTAGCTAGGGCCATGTGGTGCAAAGTTCTAGGCATCAGGAGAATTGAGGCCATTCAGTATTTTGCAAGAGAGAGTGCTAAAATTGGAAAGTTACTTTTTTCTGCCAAGTGGCAGGTAGTAAATCTGTGTTAGAGAAGAAGTCCTGCTCCCCTTGTGTTCAGAACACTCTGAAATCACCCACACAGTCCTTAGATATGCTACATAAAATACGCATTCATGTTTAGATGCTTCTTTATGCTTGAGTGCAAAGAAAGATAGATACAACCATTTACATGCACTGCAGTGCAGAAGTGTGAGCAAATTCAAACCCCAGAATGTACTCTAATGACCTCATCACTTGATATTACTTGCCCTATTTCTTCATCTTAAAATACTGCAGAACTTCTTTTTCATGTCACTTGCATTGGTGACACGACACGTTGTTGTAAATCAGTTATTTGCCACAACCGCCTCTTGTAATGGTAGGAGCATCAGTTTCCTCACACATTTGTAATTCTGCTTTCTAGCTTGTCTCTGCTTGCAGACCCCAAAGAGTAAAATGGCCCTGTGTTCTTGCTACCTAGAAACCTGAAAGTCACTAATGAAGGGTAAAGTCAAGGAGTCAAATGAAGATCTTAATAAGAGAGACCTGTAGGGTAGAGTATATTTCTTTCTAGGGAAGAATACATCCCTGGGAAATAAAAAAGGATTTCAAAGGAGCTTAGTCACTCATAAAGAAAGCGTTCCTTTCTGATGAAAGGTGATCTTTCCAGCAGATGTGTTACAAGGGATGGTGAAGAGACTTCCTGTGTGTATTTCTTAACAGCATTTGGATGTATGTGAATAGGTACAAAACACATTTCAGATTATGATGGTTATATACATTTGGGTAAAACAGATTAATAAATCTCTTGCGTCCGAGTCTGATCTTCCATCAGGTTTACACCAATACCGGAAGAGCTACTACTAGTTTTCACTGCTGTGGGAAATAACAGAAACACAGTCATATAGCAGTAGCCAGAGGTCTGGGAAAAAAACTCATGGAAATTCTCATACAGTATCTGAATTCATTCTATGGCCTGTATTTCAATTATATTAGCATTCACAGTTGTATTTGGAGTCTTCTTGTTTTACATTACTTTTAATGCCCTACAGTCTGAGACTGAGCTGCAGGGGCTCCAGCTCGGGCCACTGTAGTGGTGTCTGCCATGGGAGCAGGGAACCCAGGAGAACCTCATGGCAACCTATAGGGCTACCTACCCCACCTCTTAGGGTGTTCTCAAGTCTAACTTGCAACCTTGCACTTCAAGAATTTCTCTGAGACTGGACTGTCATTGCTCAGACCCATGAAGAAGGACTGAACCCATATGGTGGGTTCTTTATTATTATATCACTTCCCTTTTGGCTTGGCACATCAGTGTCATAAATTTTTGTCCATCGCTTTTAAAATGGAAAATGTCTGTTAGCTGTATCTGCATTCATACAAATATTCATTTCTAATGTAATCATATTTTCCTATAATTGCATATTGCAGTTTACCAAACTAAGTTTAGTCTCTTCTTCTTCTCTATTAACCAAGTTTCCCTACATGTAAGTTCAGTAGAAATAAGTTCCATGGTACATAGGAACATATTTTTTTTTAATATGAGTGCAATTTCTTAAATTATGTTGCAACTCAGTAAGAAGAAAAGATTCTTTAAGGAGAAGATAAAAGCTACTGCATAAAAGATCAATCTGCACAAATGTTTATCATCTGGGATTATCATCTGCTTTTCCTTTTTTTTTTTTTAACTTTCAGTGCAAACAGATGTCTCAGGAATCCCCCTTTTTCATAATTTTCAGCAACATGTTATAGATACTCTATGTGCAGTGTGCGGAAGAAAAGCAAAATTGACTTTTGGCAGGTTTGGTCTATCAAGTTCATAAACTCTACTGTGTCTGTCTTGTCCAAGATTAGAGACAACCTGCTCCAAGTCCGTTTCCCATTTGCACTTAATTAGGGAGTTCATTTTAGAGGTCCATGAAAAATGGCACAGGACGTTTTCATAAGAACTCTCCTCACAATAAAATTATTTCACAGGCACTTCTCCAATTTTCTCTGGAACAAGGGCAAGAAAAGTGGGGACACAAAATAAAGTTATTGGATACCTTATCTGGAACTATCCAGCCTGTTGTCCACTATCCAAGGAACACATAGTACATTCTGGATCTAAGGAAAGAAGCCAAACATTGCATCTTTTCAGACAGTTTTTCTAACTGTAAAGCTTCATTTTCTTCTAATAACTGGGACAGAGATTTTGAAAATGTTCTGAAAGATAGGAAAGAGTCTGCACAAGTGGTTCCTCAGAATCACACTTACATACATACTTTTTAATTGCTGTGGACAACAAGATGTTCTTGTGGACGTAGTACTTGGATTCATGAGGAAACAGCAGTGAAGGGAGCACTGAACAACAGTAGGGCTGTTTCATGCTCTTTCAGGCTGGTGGCATCACCTGCAGGAGGAAGAACAGTTCAGAAGATGCGCATCAGTCACATCATGAAGTTCCTCAGAGGCACTTTCAGCATGAATTTGCTGTTATGAAGTATCTGAGAAAATGCCCAAGTTAGGCTCCATGCCTGAACTTCTCCAGAATTTTAAAGGTGCATGGATCCTGGATTTCGAGCTAATGTCAGCTCTATTTTATGTTTTCCTGAAGCTTGGCTGAATCTAAACTATTTTGTAGCATATGAAATATCTTCTCGGAAGAAGACATTCCCATCACTTCTTGGTCAGCCAGATTCCAATGCACATCTAGTGAGCAGCAAAACCAACAGGGTGTGGGGACTTGAAGTACTTTGAATCTGAGACGAGCTTGGGGCAAGGAATTAGGCTCATTCATGTTTTACTATAATAAACAATCAGCTGGTTACAGATTCTAGTATATGGAAGTATGATTTCTTGGGCCAGAATCTGGCCAAGTGGGTATGATCTTAATTTATCTGCTGTGGTTCCTGTAACCATGAAGAAACAAAGAATGAGCTGAGAAAAGCCTATAGCCTGCTGGTCAACAAAAACTCATGTGAGTTACTGTTTTCATACATATCATGCTTTGACTATGAATTATGTTTCTATTTGGCATTACAAGAGATATGTTTGACCTGTGCAGAACAATTAATACCTGCTCAGGCAATCTCCATGCTATCCAGATGACTGACTTTTGCTAAATCTGGTGCCTGGCCTCTCTGAAAACACACGCATAACCATACCTGATTTCTTGTTCAAAATCTCACCTACAGTGGGCAGGTCCTGGGAGCTATGGTTCAAATCAGTCCATCAGACAATGACAAAGATGACACCAAAACAGTTGGCTTTGGTTCTGTATTTTAGGTATCTTTTTTCATTGACTGGAGGAAAGGTGCCTTGTTTTCCACACAACAGAATTGCTTTCAAGTAGTGAATCAAAATACTTTTTAACATAATAGTATGGTATGTCAACACCAACAGCCAACTTAGAAAGAAATAGTTGGGTACCCATCTCAACACTCTTTAGGAATGACCTAAAGGTCAGGTTTGCTTTTTAATCTTCTTCTTCTGGAGTGTACAGTGAACATGTTATAAAGACATTTCCTTGACATCTTAGAAGATATTCTGTTTCTAAAGAGCTAGGTTTTGTACCATAAAGGGCATGAATCTCAATTCACCTAGAACCTCATTCTCCCTTTCTTTATGAAGACTCTAGCTTTCTTTATGAAGACTAGCTGAAGCTTCCAGTTTCCTGGAAGCACATGAAATGTAGGAGTCAGTGTAACTTGGACCACTGTCTCAGGCTTCTGCCTGACAATAGTTTGCTCTAGGACAGAAACACTACACATACAGAAATTCAGCATCTTGCAAAGACAGACAAATCTCTCGGGAACAAAGGTGGCTTAATGAACTGTGGTCAGAGAAACTTAGTTGGTAGTTCCTTTGTTTTGTTTTGTTTCGTTATTGAATGAAACAGAACATAGTAACTTTACTTACAACAATGAATCAAGGCAGGCCATAACTGTGGTAGGTGCTTCCCTAAATCAGGTTTCATTTACACTTTTGGCTTACTGTCATCCTTCTGAAAAAAGGAAGAAAGATGTAAAGAGTGGTTCAAATCATCTTGCAACACTATATCACATTTCAGATCATTTGCACTCCCCGTCATGTCAAGCAAACAGACATTTCAAATTGATCAATGCAGTAATGGAAACAGCAAGAAGAACTAGAGGTTATTTTGTAAGCAACAGCATTCTTTATGAGACTGAACAGTGATGCCTTAAAATGGGATGTATCCAGGGAAAGCAAGCTTCCTGAAAATGTTGTAGCCATTACTTTAAAATAATATTATTTAGCCTTCATGCTCTATCCCTTGTGGGTTTTCAATTCCCTAGTAAACGTCCTTTCCAACACATCTTTGATCCTGGTCTCAAAAACCTGACATTTTCATTTTGCAAAGACTGGATATACAATGGACTAGTCAAGAATAAGGGCCAGATGCCCCAAATTGGTGCAAATTGGTGCTGCTCTATTGCCCTCCACACTGATTTACAGAAGACAAGATTCTGGCTGAAAGCCTTCCAAAGCCTTGGCTGCTTTGCTTTGCTATTTCATGTAAACACTTCAATTTTAGTCCTGCTTCCTAAGGAAATGGAGTTTATGCAATCCTGTTCCCTGTGTGTGTACATGGGAGTGTCTGTGCGTGTGAGTGTATGAGTGTATGAGTATTTGTTTTCCCTTTCCCTTAAATAGTTTTGAATGTGACAGTTATCTCAATAAGACTGTAAAGCAGGAGGTTTAAGAGAGGAAACTCCTGCAGACACCATGCCAGTGTTCTTACTGAGAAAAAGGCTAATAAGCTGATTTCTTGCAGCCTTCAGAAAATTTGCACTGGCAGAGATTGCTTAGACCTGACTTGATTGGTTCTGGTCCTCTTGGATCCACTTGCTCAACTGTTTACTGCATCAAAACGTGAGCATCCAAAGCTTGGATTAACCCCGTTAAACTGGACCAGTGTTTATGAAGAGCTAGGTTAGCCTGGTTTTCTCTATTTGCTTCAGAGCATACAAATGCTAATTATCTCATTGGTTGAAATCCTTAATTCTCACGTGGTATTAATAAGCTTAACATCACTTAAGTTGTTTTCATCCAGCTGTTGAGCCAAACAAATTCAGGCACAGCATTTCCCATGGTTTTATATTCAATTCCACTCATTTTGTTCTGTTCTTGCCAAGGGTCTCAGACAGAGAGATCAGAGGGCAAAGGGAAAATTATAGATGCTAATTCACAAACAACCTCATAAAACTATCCTTCTTAGTCCCGTGAAGAAAGCAGCAAAATAAAATGATGACTGTTTCACTGCTGAATCTTTGTGATAAATGAGGTGATCCTTGGGGGGGAGGTGGGTATATAGAGGTAGCAGGCTTCATTGCTTAATGGAGTGATGTGTTTAGCAAGAGTAAAAGAGAACTGCAAGGAAAGTTATGTGAGAAAAAAGCCTTACCATTTGCCAAACCAAATAAATAAATAAATTATGTTTGTGGTTGGCAAAAACCCACACTGCACCAAACAAACAAAAATGAGCTGTTAGTTAAGCTTTGTTTGATAAATGTGGGACAAGGAAGTTATGACAAAAGACAAAAATGAAAGCCTAAGATACACTTAAATAAAATATGATCTGGAACTGAGCAGTAATCCGCTATTCAAATGATGTATTTATGAGATTAAAAAAGCTGTGGGGAGAAAAGTGATTTTTTTTTTCCCCCACTGAAACCAGAAAAGCAGGTGGTGTTCTTCAGCAATCTTCTTTATTTACTTAATGAGATAGTTTATGTGAAGAAAAGGAAACCCAGAGAGCACCCTGACCCACAGTAGTAGTGGGTGTGCAAGGTAGGCCCTTTCTGTATGAAACAGCAGGTAATGACAAATGAAAACAATGATACTTTCACATCCTGAAGTGGTTTGCTGGATTGGGAATCAGCATCTTACGGAAACACTCTCTGGATCACATGTATTTTTTTAACCTATGGACACCATTAAGTTAAGACTGAAGCACAAATTTGTCCACTCCTGGTGACTGCCTGACGAGAAAATAGCTAGCCAGGCTATGATCCCCTCTGTTGTACCTACCTCTCTATTGATTTAAGCAAAACATGACCAGATCTTTCTCTTGCATAGCAGGGCTTGCTGACTGCTCGTGGTGACCTCATCCATGTGTAGGTCTTTTGGCAGACAGTTACAACTTTTTAAAGAGCCAATAAGAGTAGTTTTATGAGGCTGTTTGTGAATTAGTATCATTCTTTTGCCCTTTGCCCTATGGTCTCCTATTTAGCCTGGGCCCCTTGTCAAGTGTTGGACAAAAGGAGCTCAAGTCAGCATAAAACCCTGGGAAGTGCTGCCTGCCTTTGCTCCTTGCTACAGCTGTATGTCTTCTGCTGGTTGCTTGGTGCAGCTTTGTGGACGGAGCTATGCCTGTTAATACCAAAGATGTAGCAATTCAAAGTGTGATGCTAGTTTATGAGTACTAACTGTCCTGCATCGTTTGACAGGAACATGGACACAGAGGAAAAAGCACTCAGTCTGTTCTGTGTCAGGTGAAATTTAACTGAACTACTCTTTCTGCCCATACGTACTCAATACTTCTATAGAACTTTCATCATTCTCACTGTACAGACAGGGAAATTGAGACAGAGTGGGGTGAAATGACTTGTTCACGCTGATCTGTATGTGTGAAGCTCCTACTTCAGAAAGAAGTTTCAAAATAAAACTGAATGCAAGCAAACTGCAGAACAATTATCCTATACCTCTTTAAAAAATAAAGAAATGCAAGGGGGCAAAGACCCTTAATGTCAGGGTCTTTGCACCAAAATACTCAAGGATGTGAGTTTTTCACACCCCAGAACCTCAGCTCCCCTTAGGTGTAAGGGATGTAGTTACACTGTTGTACTTCACAGAGATGTCATGAGTTCAAATATATTAAAATACTTTTTTTTACCCTATATTTGAGACCTAGAGGGAATAATTTCCCTTAGGAAAAAATTAAGAATATTTCTCCAGATTACCCATATTACTTGGAACAGCAAAACTGAACTATAACTTGTTTGATGAACAGGCTTTCTTGCAACATGTCCAATGCTCCCAGGAAGGGGAAGCAAACAGACTTTTTCCTGTTGTGGTGGTCCTTGCAAAGCAAAGGCCATAATAAAATGGATAGCTTGCATAACAAAATATGCTGCATAGCAAAATGGACTCAATTCTGCAGCAAAACTCTTTGATTCTCTGAAAGGTCTGTTTAGATGAGAAGAGATAGGATTTAAGTGAGTTAAAAATACACCAAAGAACACAATCAGTGCAACATTACTCATTTTGATATTAAACGAGATTTATTTGACAGTAAAACCATATGCTCAGTGGTGCTGTCCACAAAATGACAATTCCACTTTGCAACAACTGTTGAAGTTCAAAAATTGTTTTCATTTGGCTTTGGAATAAAAACAAAAAAGCCTTTCAGTTCTTTATGGAATGGAATTGAACTGAAATGGCTGATTTCAGATAAAAAAAATCAGACTTCCCTTTTGTGAGGCCTTTTTTACTTCTAATGGGTTACCCAAAAGAAGTCAAGAGTAAATGGGGTCAAGTTGTGCCAGGGAAGGTTTAGACTGGATGCTAAGAAACATTTCTTCTTCAGATGGGTGGTCAAGCATTGGAACAGGCTGCCCAGGACATTTGCTGCGTCACCATCCCTGAAAGTATTTAAAAGACATGTAGATGTGGCAAAGGGACATGGTTTAGTGGTGTACTTGGCAGCGCTCCATTAATGGTTAGACTCGATGATGTTTAAATTCCTTTTTTAAACAATTCTATATTCTAAAAGGCAGGGCTTTGGGAAAAGGCAGGAAGACGGCCATGGATAATCTGTAACTTTTCAGAGGCCTATTCAATATGCTTAATGAATATTGAAATTGACGCTTAATGAAGTGTCAGCCTACCAAAAACATTTCCATCAGCACTACTATACAGTTCCTAATACTATTAAGACTTTTTGTATTGATTGGGCATGTCTGTAGTGTACAAGCTGTGTCAAAGATGAGACTGGAGCCTTTTTCTGATGAGAAAAGGGAAGCTGAAGATTTTGGCAACGGGAGAGCTTTGGAAGCACCTGAAGTGAACATGGCAAAAGCTGTGTGCTATTGCTAAAACATCCACCACCGTATGCCTCAGAATGTCATTGCTCACAAACATCAGGATAGTTTCTAAATTCAGTGGATTAGAGGGATGCAGTCTTTTACTCTCTCTGCTAGAAGTTTTCTTTCACATTGATTGTTGGCTAAGAAATATGGCACAAAAATATGTAAATACCAAACCCTAGGGTTTTTTCCATTAAAAATGGTGGAAAAATACTTTCTTTCTCAGAGATACTTGAAAACCTGGATTTTCATCCAAAATACCTCCAAAGGTGAAAGCTTCTGAGGGGAGGGAGGGGAAAAGAGGAAACTTTCAATTAGGAAATGCTGCTGTGGCACCTTGTGGGGATTAGTTGCCTCAGGTATCCATTTGTGTGAATGGTTCACAGTGACTGTCCCCCCTGAGATGCATACTGGAGGTGGTATTTAGCTGGGGATTCTAAATCCTGAAGAAGAATGGGGCAGTCAAATTACTATTCCTGTGAGGTACTACAACAGCATTTCTGAATTGAATATAACTGTTGCTGGTTTTAACCAAAATGTTTTGGTTCTGAGGGTTTTCAACTCTTCAATGAAAGGTAAAAAAATCTGACAAAAAGGACACATTGTGACAAAAAAACTGTTACCATACATAACTTCCATTGAAATAGATGTTTGACAGGAATCAGCTTTTTTAACCATCTCTAGCAAAATAGCTATAAACACATCCTAACAGCACCATAAATTATCAGAAGTAAGGGAGTTAACTAATTCTTGTAGAAGTTACATGTCACCAATGGGACTACAGCTCTTTGGGCTCTCAGAGTTGTCCTTTGCCTGCAGGATCATGCTCTCCTTTCTGCTGCACATAGTCAGACACAGAGAGCCCTGCTTTCCAGTGTACACACTTGCACATGCACTGTATATAACAGCTATATAACCAGAACAGTTTTACATTCTTGGCTCTAACTGTCTCAAAATCAGGCACATACAGTTTATACGAGGTGGCACCAGTGGAAGAGCTCTATTTGCTTTGAACTGAAAGGTAACAGGAGCAGAAGTAGTTGTCAAGAAAGACCCTTCTAGTGATCTTGTGTGTATGTGTGTTGCTACTGTTTTGAGCTTCTCAATAAAGCACATAGACAGAGGAAGATGACTGTATAGCCATCACAATGTGCTCCTTCCTGACACAGAATTCCAGGCATCATTCCTGGGGTGATGCCTGGTTCAAGGGTATTAGACAGAATACACTGCCACCAGTACCTGGGGCAGTCCAGCCCTTGCAGGCACAGAGAAGGTATGAAAACTCAGTTTGGCTGGCGGAGAATGTGTGTGCATGTGTCCTCGTACTGCCTAATAAATATGTTCATCCAATTAAGTGGAACAATGATTCATTAACAAAACAGGTACTAAAAAATACTCATTTAGAACAATCACTGTTACTTCCTCAGCTTTTCACTTCATCACTGCTTGTGAGAGTAAAACCAACAAACTAAATGAAGCCCTTATGGGCACCAGGGACCAATTAATGCCACGTGACTTCCTCCCAGGCTTCCATGAAAATAACTGTATTATAATGGTCTGTGATATTAATATCGACTTTGGGAAAGTTAGGCAGCAGCTCCGTAGGGAAGGATGTAGCATGAGCAAGCACTCTGGAATGTGCAGTATTTGACAGAAGAAAAGTGGCATCTCTCTCTATAGGTTGCATCTCTTCTTGCTATTGAAACACAAAAGTCAGCTGGGAAAATACAAATGCCTGGGGGAACCTGAGAAGTTTCTTTTATAAATAGATACCTTTCCAGTATCTGTTGGAATAAATCTCAGAGCCTCTCTGCTTTCAATATAACAAGTGTCATTCTACAGATTAAGCCTAAGGACTAAATTCTGAGGTGACTTTGGGATCCGGAATTTACACAGCCTCAGAGTTCACTTTTTGGGTTTTAATACCTCACAGCTTAAATAATTTTGAGGATTTTATTTGAATCTCATGGCTATGTGGAACCCCACCAGATTTTTGCTGTGGAGTATGGAGCTTCCATAAAGGAGCATCACCTCAGCACATATAACTGCTGCCTGAAGTCCCTACAGCTGACAAAGCTATATGGGGGTTGCTTTACAAGAACTTGTTTTTCCTCTTAGGCTGGCCTGGCTGGTTTGCAACACAGTTCTGCTATTTCAAACTGTATCTGCACTGAGACATGCAAGAGGTGGAATTTATTGCTCTCCTTACACTGGTGGTGTATAGATAATGGTTAAAAGCCCTAGGCAGGGCCTGTGAGTGCCAGTGGAGCCACTCTGAGGTAAAAGTAGCAATGTCCCCATCCCAGTCTTCCCTTGGGACCTCACACTTCCTCCCATATTTAGACCCTGGCTTATTTACTAGGCACCATGACTGTGCACTAATACCGCAGCGACACCATAGCTTTTTCATGCTGGGCTCTTCTTGCAGTGGAGGTACACACAGAGACCCCCTTGCCCCATTGCCAAGGCTGGACAGTTTAAAGACAAAGGCACTGGGTAAGACTCACTGGCAATCCAGGAGAGCACCATGTAGCAGTGAGATCGATGGTCTGGCAGGGAAAGCATCAGCCTGAGTGATAGCAGCCGTCCAGCCCATATCTCCCCTGCTGAGTCACGTACCTGAGTGTAAGGGATATATAAAATGGTTTAATGTGCATGCCAAGGCACCACATAGAAAGAGTACAAGGAAAGCAAGCAGGAGGAGGGCAAGGTTTAATGTCTTTCACAGTGACCCTGGCCTCAATTTCTGCATCCCCACAGTAGGAATCTTAACTCCAAAGATGCATGTTAGTAAGCAAGCGCAGGCAGGATGAAGGCAGTCTAATAGCTGAGCATGAAGTGGGTTAACTGAAAAAGTGATCTAAATAATATCGCATTTGGAGGAGTGATTTGGGTTAGAGGTT